TCGTTCTTAGAAAATGATCTGCAGCTCCCGCTCGCCTACCACAAGTTTGGCATCGCTGCGTCGTCGGGTCCACTCCTCAAGCTGGGACGTGTGGCTCTTGGGGACCTTGCTGGAGCTCCTGATGATGGGGACGTCACGAACTTAGGCGTGGATTTCTCGGGAGGCCAACATAGACTCAGAAGGGGCACCAGAAGAACTCGAACTAAGAGGTGGATCAAATATGGGGCTCGAAGGTGTAGAATGACCAGGCTCAAGGTCAAATCAGGGCACAGGAACAGGTTGTTTCAGACCAACTTGAAGGCCACACTTACGTACGGGGCTGAAGTACATGCGTTCAGCCCACACCAGATCAAGGAGATCAGGGCCTCAGCTGGGAAAGATTCTGGGATCCTATTCAAGGGGGCACAAGTGGACCTCGGATGGGCTCTATCGTCGTATTTGGACCCGATCGACATAGCGAGCAGGAGTATAGCCAGGGTTGCAGCAGAATGGTGGATGACGACGGCCTTCCACAAGAATGAGCACGTCCACAAGGATGTGCTGAAGCCCGCCCTGCTCAGCAAAGCCTTGCACTCAGCCGCCCGCCACCTTGAGGAGACAAAAGGGAAAAATTGGTTCCTACGGTCCCGAGGACCAATAACAGATGCCCTATTGTGGTGTGAGGAGGCTGGTTGGAAGATGTTGAGCCCAGGGGTTTTCCAGGACGCCGTCGGGGACACCCTAAACTTCACCGAGGTCAGCCCTGCGCTGGTGTCGAAAAGGTTTGCCGTCCAGCTGAAAGACAGTTATATCCAGAAATATGTTCGGGGAGTCTGTGAGAAGAACGATTGCGACACACAGGACCTTGAGACCCGAGGACTGTGGTGGGAACTCATCAAGCAGAAGATGAACTCCACCAAGCTTGGGCTCACGCTCGTAGAAAAGCTTAGAGTGAAGCAGCTTTTTTGTGGAACCCTCCCAACGGGCGAGGCCCTCGCGAGGTGGGGTTTCAAATTTAACTCAGTGTGTAACAGATGTGGCATGCTCGACTCTGCGTGGCACCGCGTTTGGTCCTGCCCGTGCCCGCGTGCGTCAGCTGTCCGAAGCGAGGTTTTCCCCGAGGCCCTAATTCAACAAGCCCTGGAAGCTGGCCCAGGGTCTCTCCTTTTTAGCCGTGCCTGGGTTGCCAGGCCCGACCTTTCCACGGAGCCCCCTGCCCAGGACTGGGTTCAAGATTTAAAATTTTTTGGCCCTGGAGGTGAGGAGATTCTGCCGTTTGAATTCCCACCAGGGGCTCAGTTGTTTACCGATGGCTCTTGCCTGTTTCCCCAGCTCAAGCCCTGTTCCAGAGCCGGGTGTGCAGTCATACAAGTGAACGAAGACGGCGAACTGGTCAGAGGCATAAGGTCCCCTGTCCCAGGTACGATGGAGCAGACCAGCGGGTCTGCAGAGCACTGTGCCATCATGCTTGCCACCACATACTCGGCTGATCAGTGCCAGTCGGGTGAGATTTTTGTAGACTATGCGACTCTCCTCAAAGCTGTGAGGGCCCACCACTGGGCTCTGTCAGGGGCCAACCCGATGGCCCACGTTTGGCGGGAAGTGGCTCGTTGGCTCCCTGGGGACCCGCCCCGCATAACCAAGGTCAAGGCCCACAGGACTGAGGAGGATGTTGCCAGCGACCAAGTCTTTTTCGTGCGAGGGAACAAGCTCGCTGACCATCATGCAGGGCTCGCAGCCCGCGCACATGCGTTCAGCAATAGCGTTTTAGACGAGTGCACGGCCATTCCCAAACTGTACACTACCCTAATTCACGGAATGGGTAAAGTGCTTGCGGAGTGGCCTACCTTCGGGGAGCTGGGTGAGCTGGGGAGGACGCGGTTGGGTCCCAAGGCCACTCCCAAGCCACACACCCCCCATGAGCCAGTGTTCCATGAAGGGAAGAGGAGATGTAACCTCTGCTTTAGATATTTGGGCCGCAAGGTAGTCTTAAGTCGGGATTGCAATGGTCTGAACCCGTCTCTTGCTGCCTTTCTGAACGGTCCGAGGAATCACCACAACCTCCACGTGGCTTGGGTCGAGAGCTCTGGGCTGCCCGTAGTGCACTGCTTAAGGTGTGGTGCATTCACCACGTGCAAGGCGGGCCCCAAGCTACGTGGGCCATGCGACGGGAAGGCTTCGTCCGAGAGTAGGAAACTCAAACGGAGGATCCTGCCAGGAACCGACCTGTCCATTACTAATTCCGTAGCTCTCCCACCCCGAGGCCGTGAACTCAGGGAGGTGAGGAGACCTGCGTAATTTTTATCCCTTTGTGAGTGTACTGTGCTTGTACGGTACACCACCCACCGAGTAACCGAGTAACCGAGGAGGAGGAGGAGGAGGAGGAGGAGGAGGAGGAGGAGGAGGAGGAGGAGGAGGGGGAGTCCAGGGGAGCCCGATTGCAGCACCGTGGAAAGCAGATGTGCGCTTCCTTCTCTTCGGGCGAGCCCTGGGCCCTGGGCAGAGAAGTTCTCAGGGGAGCCCGATTGCAGCACTGCGGAACGCATCTGTGCGTTTCCTGATGCCGGGCTACGAAGCCCCAGGGGAGGCCACCGTCGCCTGGCGGCGAGCCCTGGGGGCAGGCCCGCTCCTGCTCGCCTTCCCCCCCGAGCTCGCCGCCGATCTGTGTGAGGACAACAAGAAGCTACGCGAGGCCCCAAAGGGGCCATCGCTCGGCGCCGAGCCAGAGGACAACAAGAAGCTACGCGAGGCCCCAGGAGGGGCCATCGCTCGGCGCCGAGCCAAGGGGGGGAAGTCAGACGGGGCGGGCCTTCTCAGGAGGCCTGGAAGGCTTCAGGGCCTTCTGAGAAAAGTTCCCGAACCCGTCTCCGAGCACAAGGACGGCTTTTCCGACGGACGGGGGGCCTCTGAGAAGCCCCGCCACCTTCCGAGAAGGCCTGCTCCTTCTCACCTCCTCCGGGCTCGCCGCCCATCTGCGTGAGATCGATCCAGGGCCATGAGGCCCCAAGAGGGGCCCTTGCACTCTTTGAATCGGCGGCCCCAGCGGAAGCTGGCGCGGGGGTCGCTGACGGCTGGGCGTGCCAGCGGGCGCTACAGTCGGCCTTGATTGGACAGGACACGCGAGAGAACACAAGACCCCTCCGAGGGCCACATCGCCATAGGAGTTCAAGAAGGCACGTGTCGCGAGGCACAAGACACAAGAATACCGTTTAGCTGGCAGGGTCGACCTACTAATCCGGGCCGTCTGTAGAGCGAGTGGTAAAGACAAGTTAGGTGCGCTCGCGTCAACATCTGACTCCCTACCCCTCCCTCCCATCCCTTACCATGGCGCTGATTTTCTCTATCCGCGGACGCGAGTCGTAGCGGACCTGTGGCTCCGCGCGCGCGTGCGTAGTGGGTGGTGGTGCGCGTGCGTGCGTGCGTGTGTGTGCGTGGTTGTGGTTGTTGCGGTGGTGGTGTGTATGTGTGTGTGTGCGTGTGTGCGCGTGTGCTGTGGTGTGGCGTCTTGGTGGTTTGGTGGTGGGCCAGGAGCGTAGGTGCGTGATGGCGGTGGTGGTGGCGGTGGTGTGTGTGTGTGTGCGTGTGTGTGTGTGTCTGTGCGTGTGTATGTGTGTCTGTGTGTGTGCGTGCGTGTGTATGTGTGTGTGCGTGTGTATGTGTCTGTGTGTGTGCGTGTGTATGTGTGTGTGTGCGTGTGTATGTGTGTCTGTGTGTGCGTGTGTATGTGTGTGTGCGTGCGTGCGTGCGTGCGTGTGTGTCTGTGTGTGCGCGTGTGTGATGTGGTGTGACGCGGTGTAGCGTGGTGGTGGTGGGTGGGGTAGTGCGGTGGTGGTGGCGGTGCGCGGTGGTGGTGCGCGTGCGTGCGTGCGTGCGTTGGTGGGTGGAAGTGGCGGTGGGTGTGCGTGCGGCGGGGCGGGGCGTGGTGCGGCGCGGTGGTGGCGGGCGGATGGGCGCGCGAGAAAGAGGCCCGCGCTGGGGCGAGAACGCCATCCTGAACGACGGAGGCAAAACACCGATCCGAAAATGAGGCCCACGCTGCAGCGGGAGCACGATCGGAACGATTCGGGAGCAGAAATGAGGCCGGCGCCTCAGCGAGAGCAGCAATTTGAAAAAAAAACGCAGGCGAAAGCCCAACTCCCGGGAATCCTGTGTGTAAAAGAACAGTACGTGGGGGGGGGGTCGAATATTCCCTGGCACGCCATCAGGGGAAGAGGGAGCGTAGTATTCATATTGAGTAATTGTGGAGGGGAGGGCAGGAGGAGGAGGAGAAGGAGGAGGAGGAGGAGAAGGAGGAGGATGGGGAGGAGGAGGAGGAGGAGGACGAGGAGGATGAGGAGAGAGGAGGAGGAGGAGGAGGAGGGGAGGAGGGGGGGAGGAGGAGGAGGAGGAGGAGGAGGAGGAGGAGGGCGCCACAGAGGAGCCGGCGAGTGGGCGGCGCGCGGGCGGCCAGGGGCGCCGGAGGTGCTGCCGAGGAGCCACCACGCGCAAGACAGGCCGGAGGGCACCCGGAGGCGGGCCCGACGGCATCGGGCGGAGCTCTGGAGAGGGCTGTGCACGCTGGAGGCCGTGTGCGGCTACCTACACCCAGAAGGCATCTATACACCACCACCGTGCCAGGCCAGGGCCATCCTGGGCCCTAGGATGGTGTATACGCCCTCCTGGCCGAGCCAGGAGGGTCTCTACACCATCCTACGGCCCAGGATGGCCCTGGTCTGGCACGGTGGTGGTGTATAGATGCCTTCGTCGGATACCTACCAGACCACCCCAACCCAACCCGAAGACCCTAATTTCGGGTTGGGGGGGGTACGGCTTCCAGATGTGTTTTCTCGATGTTCCCCGACCCCCCCCACCACTGGAAATGGAGGTCAATTTCAGGCCTTCGGGTTGGGTTGGGGTGGTTTGGTGGGTGGTGAGTGTGCGAGCGCCGATGCCGAGTTTGACCTCCCAGGAGTTGCATCCTGGCGTGCCGAAGGGAAGGGGCGGCGGCCGGTGCAAAGCCGCACGGCGGGGGTGGCACTGGCCTTGACTCGGAACATCGTCTGCTGCATCACCCAATCCTTTGCCGCCTCGTCCTTGGGAGCAGCGTAGTACTTGCTCACATCGAACTTACCACCTCCCACCAGGCGTCGCTTGATTCGAATGCGCAAGATGTGTACCCTGCCATTTGCGCTGTTCCAATATACAGCTGATGTGCCATAATCAGAACACAGGTGTAGATTCGAGAAAGTTCGCGGCAATGCGACTGCCTGATTATAGTCGTCGGAGCCAGACGAGTCAGTGTCCACCACCGTGCCTCGAGGCACGAAGTGGAGTGCTCCCCAGGGTCTCGAGATGTCTCTGTACCTTGTAGTCAGCACCGGACTTCGCCTACCAGGGACAAGGAGCCCAGAAGCTCAAAGATTGCCTGGGCACTCCCGCGCGCTCCTGGGCTTCCTCGCGCGACTTGGCCAAGGAGGCCCGAGGGCTCGTGTGACGGGCCAAGGGGGCCCAAGGAAGCACCCAAGAGGGCCCAGGATGTATCCAAGAACACCTGAGAGCGCTCGAAGACGCACAAGATGGCCCGAAGACTGCCCAAGCACCCCACAAAACGCCCCCAAGGAGGCTCCAATGTGACCCCAAAGAGGGCCCCGAGATGCCCAAATCATTGTTCATCCTGCGGTGTTTGACGGAGTTGAGTCTTCTCGCCTTTTCTGGCTTCCGACGCTCATAAGCAATCCAAGAGGTCCCCAAGATCGCCCCGAGGCGGCCCAAGAGGCTCCCAAGAGCGACCCCAGACGGCCCAAAATGGCCCCAAGACGGCCCTCAGGAGGGGCCCAAGAGAGGCCCTCAGGAGGGGGAGACACGAACCAACACTTCGGACCCTTCGCCCCACGATGGTCCCCGAGACCGCCGGCAGGCCCCCAAGAGGCCCCCAATAGCCGCACAACTCAGGCCCCAAGAGGTCCCCCATAGGCCACCGAGAGGACCCCAAGACACCCCAAAATGGAATCCAAGAGGCTTCCGAGAGGCCTCCCAAGAGATCCCCACAGGAATCCCAGAGGCCTCTGACCTACAACCCAAGCGCGGCGGCAAAATGGGCCGAATGCCAGTAGACCTGGCCCGGCACGGAAACGGAAAGAGCGCTTCAGAAACAGAAACCGAAAGTACTCACACCACCGTTCGTACCGGGAGCCTTGGCGTTGAGAGCCTGTTACGTCACCCCTCGCTCTTGGGAGCCTTGGTGTTCAGAGATTGTTGCGTTGCCGCCCGTTCCTGAGCCTTGGCTGGGCCCCCCCTTAAGGGCTTCGCCCCAAATCAACGTCATCACCCGTACCTCACTCTTTCCGTTACCTGGCCCGGCACGGAAACGGAAAGAGCGCTTCAGAAACAGAAACCGAAATTACTCACACCACCGTTCGTACTGGGAGCCTTGGCGTTGAGAGCTTGTTACATCATCCCTCGCTCTTGGGAGCCTTGGTGTTCAGAGATTGTTGCGTTGCCGCCCGTTCCTGAGGCTTGGCTGGGCCTTGGTGTCAGGAACTTGTTACGTCACCGCTCTGCTGGGAGCCTTGGTCTTATCAGCTTGTTTACGTCACCGTTCGCTCTGGGGGGCCTTGGTGTGAAGAGCTTTTTGCGTTACCGATCGCTCCTTATTTGGCGTCTCGGGGCCTTCTTGGGAGTCCTGTTGGGGCCCTTTTGGAGCCCTTTTGGGGGCCTCTTGGGGGCCTCTTGGGGGTCACTTGGGGCTTCATGGGGGTTCTTGGGTCCTCCTGGGAGCTTCTTGGGGCGAAAGGCTAGACTTTTCGGGCCGTCTTGGGGCCCTCTTGGGCCGTCTTGGGCGCCTCTTGGGCAATTTTTTGTATGTTTTTTTTTTTCTGTTGTTTTATTAGTCCCATTGCACGGATCTGTTCAGTCCACTGAGGGGGCGCAACTGCCTCGACCTGCTCGTTGGCAGGGCGCCACGGAAACATTCTAGTGCAGCACCTGCGCACGCTCCCTAAAGGTGTGCAGTCGTGCTCTCAGCAATGACAGCTGTCGGCTCATTGAGCCCGCGTCGCTGAGGGACAACCAAGTCTTGTCTTACCCTGGCGAACCCTTGTTTCAAAGATCTGTAACATTCTCTGCTTCCTCCCGTACATCCATATTTTTCTCGGGCGTTGGTAGAACTGGGTTTAGTGGAACCTGGTTTAACGATCTGTACCGGGGGCGCCCCCCCGTCCCCTTTCCACTAACCGGAACTGCCGTCACCCGAAAAAACATAAGCTATGGTCACTTTGGTTTAGTGATTCTGGCTAATTCAGGGGCTCCGGGGCCCTAGCACTAACTGGGTCCCCTTACCCGGGGTCCTGGCCATACCCGATCCTCCCAAACCTCCACCGCTCTCATCGACCGGTCGACTGGTGATCTGTCGCCAAGATATCAATCAATCAAGGCGACGATGCCGGCCTGCAATCTCCGCGTTGCGGGAGCAGCGGCACGCCCACCGATTGTTCAGCTGCATCATGTGCGGGTGGAAAAGAGGAGAGGCGGGGAAGAGCGGGCAGGGGGGCTCACTCAAACAGGGCGGTTCACGCAAATTCTCACTGGCTTCTAAAGTTCAACAAAAAATCTCTCCATTTGGTAGCGTCGCGCAGGCACTCCAAGCTATGTGCAAATATAGATCACAACTAGAACCATCGCGCGCGCTTCGCGCGCGCTCAAGTTCTAGCTAGGCTTGATAGGCTAACTAATGTAATATCATGTTGGTCGCTTCTTGCGTCCAGGGACTCCCTTGGAGGCCCTGCTCAAGCCTCGGAATCATATAGAAGGGTAAGTGCGGAAACGCAGAAATCATTAATTTCCTTTAACGATTTGGGGCCCTCAATGGCTTCCTGGGTTTTTTGGGGGGAGGTGAGGGGGGTCTGAATTGTGGTCTGTTGTGCAAGAGTAGACCGGGGGCCACACTTGGAAAAAAATGGATTTGTAGGATTTCCATACTTTTCCAGTTCCTCGGAGCTGTTCGGTGCTGTCTTTTGTTTGTGCCTCGCGGCTTTTGTTAGCCGGGCCCCTCAGGGGTGTGGATCTTCCGTACCCCCTGGAGATTCTGGAGGCCTCCTGGAGGCCTGGAGAGCCGCCGGACGGGTGTCTCAGGCTGCGCGGGAGCGTGTTGGGCCGTTCTTTCGTTCTGGGGGCTCCTTGAGGTAGTCATGGGCTGTCCCTCGGCGTCTTGGGGTCTTCCCCCCGGGAAGCCAGGAGGCGCGATACTGGCCAGATGTCAGGGGATGTGTGGGACCCTCGAGTAGGAGTCCCACTTTGAAAAAAAAGGAATTCTGGGAATATCGATATGTAAAAAAACATCCTCGATCTTCGAGGGTTGGAAGCAGGAAAACGTGAGAAGGCGAAAAACGTTAGAAAAACCGGGAAATCAACGAGTTTACCCTCTTTGGGCTCTCTCGGGACGGCTCTCGCAGCTCTCTTGGGCTGTTCTTGGAGCCTCGTCGGGGTCTCGTTGGGGCCTCTCAGGGATCGGGGGTGTGTTGGGGGCCTCTGGGGGGTCCCGGAGGCCTCTCGGAGGTCTCTGGAAGCCTCCTGCTCCCGCTCTTGGGCCCATCTTGGGCCTGTTCTGGGGTGGTCTGGGGATGTCCTGGGCGCCTCTTCGGCAATCTTGGAGCCTTCTTGGCCCGTCTTGGGGCCGTCCTGAGGATCTCTTGGGTGGTCTTGGGAGCCTCTTCGGCGCTCTTGGACCATTGGAAGCTCGAAAACGCGAGAAGCCAAAAACATGGAACAAAAACAATGAACATCTACGATTTGGGCCTCTTCGGGCCGTCCCGTGACACCTATCAGACCTCTCTTGGGGTCTCTTGGAGGGCACCTGTGAGCCAAGAGAGCCGTCGGAAGGCTGACTTGGGCTGCTCGGGAGCGTATTGGACCATTCTTTCGAATTCTGAGGGCTTCTGGGAGGCGTCTTGGGCCCTCCTGGGACGCTGTGGAGGCTCCCCGGAAAGGCCGGGGGAGCGGTACCGGGAGCGTCCCCGAGATGTGGCGGGGAGGGACCCGGGGCCAGGGGGGGCGGTATATATTTGCATTATACAGAACCGCGCGCGCGCTTCGCGCACGCTTGGGTTCTAGCGCATGCCATGGCGTTGTGAGCTGCGCGTGCTTTTCGGGCAGGCTCATTCCATGCCTTGCCCTACCTCGTCCTCCAATATTCCTTATACGTCCTTCCTCGTTAACCCTCCAGACTCTCTCGGTTGTCCTCGCTTTTCGTTTCTCGTCTTGCTTGGGATTATGCGGGGGCTTCGAGCTGTTCAGGGCCGGCGTGGGAAGATATGCAATACGAAATGGGCTGGCTTGAAATCTACGGGTCTCTTGTGGATCTTCCTGTTGGGGCTGCCTTGAAGGTCTTGGGGCCCGCTTGGGTCCCTTTTGGGCTCTTCTTCGAAGTTGTGGGGCCGTCTCGAGCCTCGGCGCCATGTGAAGCTCTCCCGAAGCCATCCGAAGGAGACGAGCGTGAGATTTACTGAACATGGAAAAACCTGAATGGCTTTTGCGTTTGTGGCTCTCTGGGGTCATTTGGGAGGGCCTTTGGGAGTTCCAATGGGGCATCTTGTGGCCCCTTGGGGGCCGCCTTGAAACATCTTGGAGCGTCTTGGACCACTAAGGGGCCATCTGGGCGGCCAGCGGGCGTCGCTTGCTCTGAGTAGAAAGTGCCTGGGATGCAGCGGCCAGCGCTGCACATGAGCTGCTACCTTGGGCTGCAGCTCGCTGGATTCTGCTGCGTGAAAGACGCTGCTACCCTGGGCTGCAGCGCAATGCAATTTAATGCCCCGGCATTACCTATCCCACACGGCACTTGAACGAGAGATGGACATGCTTGGTTTGCGCGTGAATTTCTGTCCTGAGTCCTGAATGGATGACCATCGAACCCAAATCCAAAAATCCCAAATTCCTTGGGGCCTTCGACAGCTCCGCGAAACCGTTAAGAAGCCGGGAGGCGCGGTACCCGCCATATGTCAGGGGATGTGTAGGACCCCCGAGTAGGAGTCCCACTTTGATGAAAAAAAGGAATTCTGGGAATTCCCGTTTTTCTCCCAAATCCTCAATCTTTGAAGATTGGAAGCGGGAAAACGTGGGAAGGCGAAAAACATTGGAAAC